TAAAATTCATACACCATCTCCCATGCTAAAAGCAGTCTTCGATCTACTCTCGTCATCCAGTTCAACTTGCTAGTATCAAGATGTCAGATCTAAAGTGATGAATCTGTGGAATATTTAAACGCATCCAGAATTTCATGTATTTGTTGTAAAATTAGGGCATCAATGCAAATTATTACATACATCTATCTAAAATCAATATGGAATCTTGGCATTTCTTCCCTCTTTCTGACAATCACTGATAGAGATGTACAAACACTCTTCAAAGGTTTTATGATCTTTTCCTTTAACAATTGCTGCATCTCAGAGTTGGATAGATCCCTAATATTCCAGGGAAGTCAATGTGACAGATGCTTCATCAGACGTGCATCACCTTATCTATTTGAGGGTGAGTCGCTGTTTTTTGACCAAATCAGCTCTATGGTCCCACAAATATGGTAGTATACTCATCCAACAAGTCTTGAGTTTGTTTTGGGTCCAGCTTGTTTGCATAGTCCTTACCAACGATCTCAAAAGTGTTGGCAGCTTAGAACTCGCACTTGGATAAGGTATGACAGATACAATCCTAGCATCACTACTAGTCTTGGTGACTTCCACTTTGCTTACAGCCCCAATGCTCATTCCATTGCACATCTGGATAGCTGATCGTCCATAATTATAAAACAACACTATGATTTCATTCTTATCTTGACAGATATTTGCGTGAGCTAATGCTACTTGCTTAATGGACAGAAAATGGTTATTTCATAAATGGGCTCTATAATAATGTTACATGGCACTAACACACCAGATTTTATCTATTACAAACCATGGAACATCACTTGTGTACATAGAGATATTGTTAGTCCTTCCTGGTCTCCATTTGCTGAAATCAGATAACTCTCTCATGGAAGATCAGTTTATCAGTAGCACAGGCTAACCTGACTGATAATTTCTGCAGTATATCCATCCGAAGGATGACAATGCCAGAATTCAGATTGAAGACGATTACCTTCATTCTATGAGTGACATATCCTAGACACAACTGGAAAGACCTACCTCTTTACCCACATCTAGTCGACCACTATTTGCTAGAAAGAAGTTGGTATACATTGGCTGGAGTGATGGCCTAATATACTGAGAAATCTAACAACATTCTGACTATTCCTTTATCAACCAGTAGCTTTATCACTTACCCTTGTATCCAAGTTCCACCTAGCCCTAAGAGAGCGGTGCTCACCACCAAACATTTGGGTAAAAACTGTCTGCTGTGCTCCCACAAGTCAGTTGTCATACCATACATGGGCTCCATTGGTTTTTGGAGCTTTAGTGGCAGTGTTTATTGTTGGTTTTTCCTGAACCTGCTGAGCCGTGAGTCAAAACCATTAACCTTGCCCATCCTGCTGCTTGGCACAGAATGGGTGATTTTGGTTTTCTTGTGCCTGTTCAGCCATTGATCAAAACTACTAATCGCCTGTCTTGCAAAGTATGGCCACTTTCTTCAAAAGTGACCTAATATATCACATCCAAAGCAGAAATTTTGTTCCTCTCTTCCAGAATAACATCTGGGCAGAGGCTTCATTAGCCCATTCACTGAAAACCAGTGTGGTTATATTGCATCATCATGGTGTACAGGTAGCTGGTTAATGTTCAGCATGGCTTGACCTCAGTATGGTGGAGGTACAGTCTGTCTGAGATGTAGCCACTGCAGGATTTTTCCTCTACTAGCAACTGGTTTGAAGGTATCACTTCATATCTTTTTGCTCAAGAAAATGCCTCTGTAAGGGCAAGGATATCTCTCACACTCAGATGATACCTCACTGTTTGACTTGAAAGTTCTTCAGTGAATTTATCCTCGATAATGTATTCACGATATGCTGAAGCCATTGCAGAATATGCTTTATCATATATATAGGTATATATATATATATATATATATATATGACAAAGAGTGTATGAATGAGTAGCCATACTATCCAAGCCATAAACTTGGCTTGTCAGCTTGCTTGATTTTTCCACTGAGTTTAACTGTTAGCGTAACATGGCTACAATTGTATCACAGTCTTCCTATTGCACCTCACTTACGCGCTTGATGGAGTCCAAGGATGAATCATCCAAGCTCAGGATCAAATTTTGGACTCCAAATTGACCAATTTATTCAAAATGATATTTCAGACTATTTAAATCTCATTTTACATAGTTGAATTAGTAATGTAAGACTTACTCTGAGCAATTAGCATCATCTACATTAACGTCATTCACATTCAAACATAAAGGAAGCTGTAACCTTGAGATACCATCTGACTCAAGCCTGCAGTGAGGTCTGGAAGTGGGAGGTTCTTTTTGGTCCAAAGTGGAACTCGTTTCATATAAAACTTTAGTGCCCAGGGACGAAAAAAATCCGAAATATATAATGGTTCCTTTACTATCACTGCAAATAAACATTTCTAGTCAATTTTCTCTGATAAGTATAAAAATGTTCTTTCTGCATGTATGCACAGTATGCAATTAAATAATCAGAAGCCATCATTAAAGAAAGGAAAATAATAAATCTTAATAGGCGATCGGAACTCTGGCGGGAGTGGGGGTTCGTTCGCCCCCCCCCCCCTCCTGGGCTACGGGCTTGCCTGACTTACCATTGAACGACTGTTTTTTGTATTCTTGCACAACGTGCCACATCACAGCCATGCCTTGCATGGACAGATCAGGTGTCATCTAGAAGGAAATGACAAATAACAAAAGTAGCTAGAACAAAACAAGTTAAGTAGCACGTATCTAGAACCAAGAAAACATTTTAACATTAAAATGAGAAGGTAAGAAAAACGCATGTCATACCTGCCTACTACACTTCTGTGTTGGTCTAGAAATGACGATATTGTTGTAAGCTATATTTTCAATGTTATAATATAGTTGTTTTCTTCAGGGAGCTAGTCATTATGATGACGCCAAGAATCTAGTAACATTTTCTAATATCTGGACAAAAGCACATTACATACAAATACGAGTAGGCAGTTAATTCAGGAAGTATTCATTGAGTAGAGATTGATAATTCAATGAAGTGTTAGGTATCACATATATATACAGTTACTCGATTGAGTAAGTTTTGTATTTGTAAGTAAGGCGTAGGTACCGTTATATTAGCGAGGAATTTCCGTTGAAACGTTGTTTATCATCACAGGCCTATAATCTGTATCAAAGGAAAAGTTACAAAACAAATACAAATTCGTTATTGTTATTAGATTGAACGGCATCATTTTCATCAAATAATCTGAAAGAACCCACCCAATGATAGAACATGGCACAACAATATCTTGAGTTTTAAAAGGTATTAACATCAACGATTTTGACCAAATCAGCAACAAATAACATTTCTTTGTCAAGTTTGTATTGTAATTGTCCTCATTCGCCAATTTGAAAGCTCTGTTCCACAATCCTCGTTCAAATGTTAAAATAGCCATCACCTGAAAAGAGCCCATAAGGATTGTTCAAGGACTTTCCAATCTAATGAGGAACAGTACTGTAAGTTATGTTTTCATATTTTATTATAGAGATTTGCATTGTTTGCTAGAAGGAGTGTTGGCAGACATAATGATGATGTGTGGTGATACACACTATAATGCTATTCTTATATTAAATTTTAATTGTTTAGTAACATATATTTCTTTACTTATACTTGCCACAAGGCATTAGTATTATACCTATTATATTTTTAAATACTTCATTCTTAATCTAGTCCTTTAGAGATTTCTGAAAATTAAAAGTGTATCTATTTCAACTACATAATGTTCACCATATCCATTGCCGACGACTTGTTTCGATCAATTCAGAACTCTTCAGGCCGGCTGGGATACAACAGACACCGTAGTTGTCGAAACACTAACACATATAAACCATTTGTTACAACATTTGTTATGGTGTGAACGCCTTTCACACCAGGCGCTCACACCATAACAATATATTTCTATATTTCCGTTCTTCTACAATACATAATTTCTGTTTCATCGTAAAAACATCAAAATTAATCAGGTAGATTTTCTATGTTTCTCACATTATTTTGAATTTTATTACGGTTGTATTTCAAGAAAAAACAAGATCAATCACAGAGATTGCATACCTTCGCCCTGACGATCCTTTTCGAGATTGTATGCGTTTATATTGCATAACGTCAAATTTCAATTTCGAAAACTCAGAAAATCCTTCTCAGTTCCAGAATGATCAAAGATCCGGATTATTTTTGTAGTGCGACGAATAGTCTCAACCTTAATGTGCCCATAAAATTTGGTACAGATCTGATCATACTTCACAGAGTTATTAACCAAAATCCGCGAAAACGTCTTATCTCTCCATTATGAAAAAATGTTTCAAAGTGACCCAGAATCCGGATCCGGACAACATTTAGGGAGGACTGTTCCATACATTCTATACTGACTTCCCGTTTTGTGTAAATTTTTTTCCGGGAGCGAAAGTAACAATGGTTATACGTGGTTCTTCTTTCTTTTTCTTAAGATCCTAGTTTACTACATACTCTTTGTTTAACATTTCTAGATTACAGGTATGTTCATTTATAATTATCAAGATATAATAAATTTGTATCTTTACCGAGTCAAAATTTTATTTGATTAATTCGCATTCTTGAAAAATATCTTCTTTGTGTTTCGCTGCAAACTCTATATAAAATTTTAGAAATCCACACTTCTTTTACCATGTGCTCTTATCGTAGCGCTACCTATATGTAGAACCACAGGAAGAAACCCAAGATAGGAAAACCAGAGCATTACTTCTCTATGTCACGTGACCTACGCGAATTACACTCTGGCGGTTGATGGCGGTAAGTAGTTAGGAGAAGGGTTAGTTTGTCATATTGAGGTGTCTTGCTAAAGCTTACACTTCGGTTAAATGTTGGTGCGGATTAACGATTTACTGGTTGTCATCTGAGTTGTAACTGGACAGAAGAAACTTTGTAAGGTAAGGGTAATGTATTCTAAACGTAAAATAAATATGGTAGTTGTTATTCGTGTATTCATAAACACTTGAACTTCGAAGTTAAAGATGTGCATGAACTGCTTACGCCTTATGGCTGCTGTTCCGTTGGGTGCAAGTAAAGACCTTGGTTAATCTTGCTATAATAGTAAGAGTTTTTGTTTTGTTTTTCTCTCGAGCTGCTTGTTAAGATAAACTTACTTTAAATTGCTAGGTCAATCATAAGCTGGTAAGACGTTTTTTACAATTTTGGCAGTAAAATAAGGTATTACTTAAAGTTAGTAGGATATTCAGAAATGTGTTGTATCGGTTATAGTGACATCTGGCGGTTAATTTAAATTTTTTTTGATATTTGCAAGCTAATGTCAACCATTAAGATGTAGATTTAGCTTATTTTTTGTACACTGTCAGTTTTGAAGGTGTCAACCATGACATTACAAGATATATTGTGTGTCATAAAATTTAATGTATGAAAAATGATAGTCATCCTATCAAAGTTGTAAACATTGAAATGAAACACAAAACCAACGAACTGAAACTTTACATTCATATAGATATCAAATAAAAATGCCATTATTAGTATAGAATACATGATTACTAATATTATGATAAAGGTTATAGGTGGCTTGTTGAAATGTTGTACATTTGTTACTATGTTAAACTTGTAATAAAGCTTTTTTGTTATTCATTCAAGTTGTCTTTATACTGTATTGTCCTCAAAGTGGGTTCTGTATTATTGGATTTGGAAAATCATCAGATAATGTGTTTTATAGTTTTCAGATACAACTATTCAACATAAAAACAAGTTTAAGTTTAGAGCTTGAAATAGATACTAGAATAATCTTTTGAGATTAAAGAATTTGAAAGATTTTCCACAGGCAATTAAGAGCCTGTAATATTCTTAGCATTAAAATCATATTTGTTTCTTTGTAACAATCTTAGTGTTTTAATCTTTCCTTACATTGTTACAAATATTTTGCTATTCAACGCCTGCAACTTAATCATAATTCTTACAGAGTTAAAAGTTTGGTTATACTGTATGTGATTTTTGTATGATTTGGGCTTTTATTATTTAAATATTTGCCTATAATTATGGTGCTCTATTTCTTATTTTTTCTATTATTTATATAGCTCTTCCTTGTTCATTGAAAATTTGTTGCTTGGTTAGGTTTTGCATATGTAATGTAAAATAATATGAAACTTACATAACAGTGAAGAGCAGAATGTTCAAAAGTAAGTTGAAAATTCTGTTAGGTTAATCTACTTTTTTCTGGCTTATGCTGCAATTAACAGCTAGTTCTATGCTCAAATTTTTCAACTGTCATTGGTTTTTCCTTGCTTTCTTGCAATACAAACCTTTTTTTGTTATTAATTAGTGTTTCTATGGTTTATAATAAATCTGGTATTCTACAGCAAGAATAATCAAAATATTATTACCAGGATTCTAAATAGCATTTATTAGAACTTAAGATAAGCAGAATGTACTCAATTTACTAATACTGGGACAGGATATTTACAAACAGCATAACTGAACTTCAAACTCAGTATAAAATCAACACAAAAAATGAGGACAAAGAACCAGAAAAAAACAACAAAAACCTAACTTCATAAATTATCACAAAATTTGATACAACTTGCATTAACTCTGATTAATTATAATTCATAATTATCACAGAATCTTGTAATGATCTAAATAGAATGCTGCTCCAACCAGAGTCAAACAATTTATTAAAATATAACAACAGAAATCCAAAATAAAACTTTCAAACAACTAGGATACAAATTTTGTCATTTCCAAAAAAACAACTAATAAGCCCTTGCCTGGCCAGAACTAGGTACGATTGTTAATAAACAATATGATATAAGTCTCAATGTGATTAATTTCAATAAATATCAAAGGAATTAGGAAAAAGAACCAGAAGAATAAAAAATGTAATTTACCAGAGAATAACATGATGATTCAAAATTAAACCACTTTTCAGTATCAAGAAATAATTAGCAATAATTATTTCCAACTATATCTCATGAACTAACTCATTTTCAAGATCAAGGAAGTCTTCTTCTTCTTCTTCTTTTTTTTTTTTTAGTGGTTAGACCACAAGGTTGCATCTCATGTGACTAGCTATTACCATAAATCAACATAATCTTTCACTGCTAGGGGAAGCTTGTGTAAGTTTCATAATACTTGCATACTCTGAATCAATGTGCTCTAGATATAAGGTAAGTTAGCACTTTGATGCAACTAAAAATTCATAGTTGAACTAAATTATAAAAGGAATAATAAATGAACTGTAGACAAAAATCATAAAATAAAAGTACAATCTGCTCAGTAACACAACACTTAATTATTCTCAGATTAATTTTATTTCACAAAACTTTTAAGCTCTAACAGAGTTTACAGCTGTGTCCAGTCTAAAATTCCATGTTCTCAAGTATCTGGTATATGAAGTTATCCTTTTTGTCTTTTTATACACTTTTATTTGCTCGCAGGTGATGAGATTATGATTCAACACAGGGTAATTATTGTTGTTGACAAAACATCTAATCAACTTATTTATGTAGAGTGATACTGATTTACATATGTACATAGCAACACTTATTTACATATAAAAACTGTTTAATTAGTAGAATTTGCTCCTTGATTAATTGTTCAGCTTATTAATCCATTACATTAAAATAACTGATTATTCTCATGTGAGACTTGGGTACTTAGAATAGTCAAAAATAGTAATTAGAAACACTAATTTTAATTGAATATTTTTGTGAGTCATGGTACTAATTGTTTAATCATTGTAATTGATGCTCATAGGTAATTGAATTAATTGCCCTCCTTTAATGACAAGCAACTTCTTTACATGACTATTGCTACCATGACAAATGTCTCAACACCACCCATTTGTCAGTCATTTTGACTCACTATGAGAGTAGTGTTACAGTTAACTTTAGAAGAGTGTGAATTAGCATCATGCATGAAGAAACTCGAGAAATAAACTAAGCGACAGAGGAATAGGGTATATAAAATATGAACATAATAGTAATTAACAAAAATGAAGGAATGCCCCCTTACTCTCATCCTATATTGTCTGAAGAAGTAATGAATTTCATCACATCATACACAAGTTCCAACTTTTGCATATACTCTATCACCTATACCGCACTTGGTGTAGTATATGGTATTATCACAACAACTTTACAACGATTGGGATTGGTTTACCCAAGGTTCTGCCTTTTTTTAGCTTACCAGAACAAAAGTCAGTTACATATTTCTCTTTCTGTTTAAGATCCAATTCAGCTTACTAGTACTATATTGAAGCAGAAAAGGTACATTACACACTTCTTTTGGTAGGAGGGAGACCCACAAAATATGTGTAGTCAATGTGGTGATTTCTTCATAGCACTCTTTGTTTCCTCCAACAGCATTGTTGGTGTTTTCCTTATTCAGTGAACTGGCAGTTGGTTGTCATGTAAGTCAGTTAATACACAGAGATACAAAATTATAAATTCTTGTGGCAGTGTTTTGGAGGTGGACATATGTGCCCATGACAGCAGAGGACTTGAGAGAGGAAAGTCAGTGATTTTCATATTCTTGAAGGTGAGTGTTCAGGGACAGCCCTGAAGTACTAAATGCCTCCTTGTTTTCTTATGGTAAATGTGGCCCTGAGGAAGCCCCTTGATGTAGGGAAGTTGAATTTTTAATGTAGCTACTGCTTACCAGTATTGTGGAAAAAGTAAATAGAAGTTATTTAAACTTAGAATATTTTTTTGACAAAATGTAATTATAAGAATGTTTAATTCTACATTTTTATGAAGCAGTGCATTTAAATGGATTAATTTCATATCAAGTATATTTTTGTATTTTCTATAGATAATTTCATCTAAACTACATTAACTGGCAGTGTCTGTGGTTGCAGTCTGAAATGGCCTCTGCCTCCAAAGGCAAAAGAAATGGAAGTGTTCTACATGATTCACAAAGTGAGTATATTTATGTATTTATTTCTCTACATTACTTAACTAATGTATGTCAAAGTTGAGACCACTCTAATTTCCCAGATTGTTAAACTAATAATGTAGTGGACAGGAGAGAGAGAGAGCTCTCTTGCTTGGGACTTGAACTATGGTAGCCCAATTGATAAGAACACCCATCACTTATGGTTGATAACTGGATATTCATAAAGTAATATTTATTTATTGTATATTCTAATTTACAATTTGTATTGTTTACTATCAAGTAGATGAACCTTGTGGAAATTTCCTTTTAAAAAGTAGGTTTTTTTTTAGCAGTATGGAATTTATAGTCTTGTGGGATTTTCATGGCAGTAGTTAAGATTTTCCATCAAAGTATATTTATTTGGGTTTGGTAGGTTGTGGCTCTGACTCCTTGTAATATCTTACTGATAGACATTTCTTTGTCTATATTGGGCCTGGTTTGTTGCATTTCCGTGATAAGATTGATTCGTTGTATGTGTGTTTTTTTAAAGTCATGTAATTTCTTTGGTAGCAAGTTCCATTCTACAAATTCACTGGTATTTTCTCAAATTTTGATGTGATGTGGTACAGAGAACCTTTGATGGTATTTTCTCAGATTTTGATGTGGTACAGAGAACCTATAATGGTGTGATTGTATTTGAGTGAGGTAAGTCTCAAATCATAGTACTACACATTTATAAAAATGCTTGTAATAAGTTAGATTTCTCTGAAGTACAGCCTTTCCACCCGATTGCCTGAAATCTAAGGGGGTCTTAAGTATTTATGGCGAAATGCTGCCATAAAAACCAGACTTATAACACCACATTGAACTCTAAATTGGTTTTTGTGTCATTAGTACTAGAAGAATTAATAATGCATTTGCTACTGACTTAATTATCATAGATATTTAAAATTTTTAGTATATTTCAGATTTGTTCTTAATTTAGGACTTTGATCAAAGGAGCTACCAAATTTCTCTTGTCTTTGTTATTTTCAAGACTACATGAGTCACTAAGATCATCACATCCATTCTCCATTCATTAGCGGAGATTGCTGTATCATGAAAGATACTATAGATAGAGTTATCTGATCTAGTGGTAAACTATGTGATAGCATATGAGCATGACACTCCTTTTTGACCCTCAGTCATGTGGATGGGATATGTGCTCTTTATATTATATATATATATATATATATATCACACACACATGTATTATCATGTTTTGTGTAGGATACTTTCTTCTCGACATATAGTTGAGACTTGGATTCAGATTTAAATTGTGGGTTTGCTGTAATATACTCCTTGTGAGAGAGACATTTTGAGATTTCACAAATAGATGTTTTATAGTTTGTTAGTTATATTTTCTAGGTCAATACTTTTTGCATAACGTGACAGATTTTGAGAGAGAGAGAAACTTGGGTACACGTACTAACAAAGATCATAGCCCAGAAAGTTTAATTCGACTTTCTCTTCAATTCTCCAAATGTAATTTGGCTTTAATTGTGGTGGTGCTCAATGAAGATCGTAATTGTTTGCAGATCTCTGTCCAATCTCTCTTGTGGAAAGATTCAGTTGAAGGCAGAGAAACTCTGGCACTACCCTGTAATATAGTATCCGAAGAATCCTTGTTTTTCCGATTCCTACAAAGTACTCTGAAGGAAGTCAGATGGGTTTGAGAGTACTACATTTTTATTTACATAATAGTTTTATATAAGAAGGTTAAGCTACATCTTGTTCACTGTGAAAATGTGAAATTAAAAATTGTGGAGAATGCAGATCTTCATTAGGAGGCAGAATGTATACTCATTCAGCAAAGTCATTGATACTATAAAATGGCTTTTGTCTGTTGATAATGAAAATTTCAAATTTCCTGATGTCTGATTTCCATGAAACTTCCAGAGGTTCGTGAATGCTTCTAAAACGCTTTACTTTATTAATTTTTCAGTGTTTGAGTTTACAATCAACTTCAGTTTTCTCCATTTCTACTTCCTGAAATCTGATTGAAACTTCCAGGTATTTTTGAGCATGGCTTCATCTGGAATATTGTGTACAAAAGAGGTGCCATTAGTAACAGTGGAAATTAGCACTTTTAAAAGTGTTAACAGAATGAAAAATTAGTTTAAATTATTACTTCTCTCAAGGATTGGTGTGCAAGAACATCCTTGAAGGTTCAAATGGTTCCACATTGTCTGTATGTTATGGTTTGGGTCTCCAGGACTCTAGCAGGAAAAGTAAGATAATATACTTAGAGTAGTGTTGTATTTTTAGGAAAGTTTCTGCAATATTCAGTAGACCTGTATGACAAATGACTCATTAAATCAACAATATAAATGCTGCGTGTAATGCACATGCTTTTCTAGTATAATTTACTTCTCTCAAGGATTGGTGTGCAAGAACATCCTTGAAGGTTCAAATGGTCCCACATTGTCTGTATATTATGGTTTAGGTTTCCAGGACTCTAGCGGGAAAAGTAAGATAATATACTTAGAGTAGTGGTGTATTTTTAGGAAAGTTTCTGCAATATTCAGTAGACCTGTATGACAAATGACTCATTAAACCAACAATATAAATGCTGCATGTAATGCACATGCTTTTCTAGTATAATTTAAAGTTAATTTTGAACGATATAAAGTATATTTCAAATTAGGTTTCATTACCAGCCTACATACTCCTAGCTGTAGCTAAAGAGAACGTGCAAAATTTTGATTCAACTAAAGTATAAACTCAGTTCTGTAATGTATCAAAGAAGCTCCCGAGTTTTTAATCTCTTGCTAGTGGTAGTTAACATCGGGTATTTTCTTTTGATAATATTTCAAAAGTACTGATGTTCTGTTTTGCATTTATATATGTTTAAGCTTCCTATGGTAAGAAGAGGCGAAAACTGTATAGTGGTACATGCAGTGAGAGTGAAGATAGCAGAGGTAAGGTTATGCATGACAAGTTTTTTTAATTTATCAGTACATTGTGATACTCAGTCTATATATTTTAACCCTTTTGCTGCAACTTTCCCTCTATTGCGACGTTCACGTGTGTCGGCATCGAGACCTAAATGCTTTTAAAAAAACACTCCGACGAGCAGGAACATCCCTGCATGCTTGAAACAACCTGCATGTTGTGCAGTGAAAGAGTTAAAATACCTTAAATTATTGTTTGGAAGAATATTTTAATTTTCCCGTTGAACTTGGGCATCCCCAAACTTCGTACCTTCTTTTTTTTTTTTTCCTATGCAGAATTTTTATCGTAGGAAACAGCATGCAAATAATAGGAATTTGGGTGAAATATTTGTTGTTGTTTTTTTGTTACAAAAGCAGGAAAAATTGTTTTTTGAAAGAATGTGTTAGTTTATTATTTACCCACATTTAAGTACATTGTAATTGAAATTGTTTTTTGTAATGTTGAAAGGAGTTTGTTTTACTTTATAGGGCCATTTTGTGCAAGTACTGGAAATTTTAAATTTTCCGAACCATCAATGTCCAAGATTTATAACAGCTCTTTCAGAAATAATAAACCAGCAGAGGTAAGTGAATGATATATTTTCCAGAGTTTCTTGACTTTGTTTTTGAATTCTTGCTAGTTACAAACATTAATCATAACCAAATTATATATTTCTGTGTGTGCATTTTGAAAGACTTAGAGTGTATGTGAATCATTAAAAAAAAAGGTATGCAGTGGCTGGCTATTATCAACTTATTGATTGAATCTGAAATTGCTGATTAAGTTTGTAAAATTACAGTTATTGTTCAGTTATTCTAATTAAGTAACTTTTATTGACCTTCAAGAACTTTGTTTTTTAACAATGAGTTCACTAGCCAGGCTGGGAAGTTTTTTTTTAGTTTTTTAATAAACCATAATGTGGCTTTTTGTGTTATTGGCTAAGGTTTTCCATCCATTTTTCCTATAGTCTGAAACCATTGTACTAGATCACTACTAAAATTTACCCAGTAATTGATATCGCTAACTTAATACACTGTCCTAACAAGGATTCTGCAAGGTGTAAAACACAAAAAAATGTATTTAAGTTATTATAATGCATTGATTCATCCTCCCTCTTCGTGATGTAACCATGTGCATGCAGTGATTGTATTTAAAAATATTAATTTTGACAGAGCTTAAGTTGGCTACTAAAAATTTATTTTAACAAACTCCTTTTTCTATTCCACAAAGAATTGTTGGCCAAATTCATAAAGTTATATTTCACAAGAGTTCAGTTACCATTATTAACTTATCAAGAGCCAGACATTATTTCCTGAAAAAAAACTTCAAGATTGACTGATTCTGTAAATATATACTCACTATTGGCATATATTGGCTCTAGTCTTTGACCATGAATGTGCAGTTCAGTTTTTACTTCCTATAAAATACTTTGTAATAAAAATCTGTGCATAAATGTTTTTTTTTGTTTGTTTATCGTCCTTTAGCTTTTACACACATTATTTGACGTTAAGCCTGGTATGTTTACTTCTGTTAAACTTTTTCTATAACATTTTGATTTTAAAAATACACTGCTGCATGTTCCCACCCACCATTGGTAGAACAGACCACTTCACATTCACACCCACCATTGGTAGAACAGACCACTTCACATTCACATCCACCATTGGTAGAACAGACCATATTACATTCACACCAACCATTGGTAAAACAGACCACTTCACGTTCACACATTGGTAGAATTTGCTGCTAAATATTTTGAAGTTCTGTGGATGAACAAATGACACATTTGATATCCCTAAATTGACCTGTAATTTAAGGATATTATGTGATAGAAATAAAAGGCACAACATATCACATTTCTTGTAAAAAATACACAAATTATTGCTGAAAAGAAGTGAATTAAGTGCCATTTTAAGTAAACATCTTGTCTGTACAGTTGTTTATTTGTCACATGTCAGAAATTCTGTGCTCAAAACATAGCTTATGTTAAAGGTTGTCTAATAAACTGAGGTGGAATATATTTAAAAGATATTCATGCTGTTATCATTATTTCTGTAGCTGTTTCGAAAAGATCTCATCAGTGCAATGAAGTTATCAGACAGTGATCAACTTTTTCCAGAAGACTTCTGGTTCATATCAGACCCTTGGAAACAAGAGTGGGAGAAAGGCGTTCAGGTACCCGTTAACCCGGACAGCCTTCCGGAAACTTCTGTAAGGTACGTCAACTTTTGTATGTTTGTATTTCCTTGTTTCTAACATTCCTATAGGTCCTTAAGAGCTAATTAACTAGTTATAATTTGCACAGAGTGAAGCCTTCAGATAAAACTGATTTGTAATAATCTGCCAGATTATGAAAAAATTAGTAAAAAGTTGTTAGGTTTTTGTTTGTTTTTTGAGATTAAGAAGAAAACTTTGTCTTTTTCAAAATGAAGGAATATTCTTATCTTTTTGAAATTTATTTTGTAGAATTATCATATGTTATAATTAAATGTTTTTGATTATGGTTTTACTTCTGTCTTCAAGTTTTTTTATTGTGTCCGATTGTTATTGAAATGGTAGTGATACATAAAATTGTTGGCTGTCTGAAATATATAGCCTTGTATATTATGAGGATTTTTTTTTTTACTGCCTCTCTTCCCCAAAATTAAAGGATAAAAACTTGGATTTTTGAAGTTTTATGCGATCTGATGTTTCATTTTTATTCTTTGTGATAAATCTATAACCTTATAATCTACTTCATCTTTACTTTAAGTTCAATTTTTAGATTAAATGACTTGCTAAAGATGGCATTATTGAACTTTTACCTGTTCTCTAGATTTCAAATTTGGGATTACATACATTTGAATAATGTGGTTTCATAATTATAATATTTTGGCACTTGTGTATAAAGTTAAAATCATAAATAATATTCAACGTTAAAATGGTACACAATTAAAAACATTTTATTTAGGCCTATCTATGGCCTTTAAAAAGTTGACGACTCTACATGTTTCGATGTTGAAATATCATCCTAAGGCCTTAGATAGGCCTAAATAAAATGTTTTTAATTGTGTACCATTTTAACGTTGAATATTATTTGATTTTAATGTGGTTTCAGTTTAGAAATGTACAAATTACAAGTTGGTAATTGCTTATTAGTGTCTGTTTATATCAACTGCTTTTTCAGGGTGCTGAGGAAAAAGGAAAAAGGGCTCAATTTTAAACTGTAAGTTAAGAGATTGAATTTTTTTTAGATAAATAAAAAAATTATGTACATGTACTTGATTTGCTGAAACTGATATACTAAATTAAGTTTCTATTATTTAATAATGTGTATTATACATATATTTAAGAATTACTGTATGATGTTTTTGGCTGTCATACATAGCTTAATGAAGGTATTTTGTGTCTTCTTGGAGTGAAAATTTATCTTGTTTACACTAGTAGAAGCTTTAAAAATAAATTTTGAAGCTGTTTTTTCTAAAATAAATATATTAACCCTTTAAAACCCAGTCTTCAGTATTATGTCACCTTTAACTTTGCATTAATGAAAGTTAGTAAATCTTAAATGTTACCAAATCTGAAATGCAGATATTTCAAACACATGGTATGAAAACTAAGAAATCTTTTATGCATATTCCCTATAACTGTTGACTTGATAGCCAGTTTTCATATATATATACACTATAGTAGGTTAGTTTGAAAGAAATTGTGTGATTAAAAAAAATTGTCTAATGTACTGAATTTAATATAAATAAATAACATTTATCTCAATTTGTTTTATACATTGAACTTATCTACTGTTTTTACTAATTTATATATCATATTCAAAAGACATTAATGTCTCTTACCTTTGATTGATGGCCTCGAATTACAAAACTCGGGTTCTTGTAAACAGAAAATTAACTGCTTAGATAATTGCTTCAGTAAAGTAAATAAACATTGAGAGAAATTTTATACTCAAACATGACTCTTAAGAAGTTAAATGTGGACAAAATTTATCAATATTGATTTCAAAGTTTTTCGTCTGATAACTGATAAGACTACATACTATTAATGCTTTGCATTTCTGAACTAATTCAATGATTTGAATCTATTGGCTGTAATCTGGTTTACTGAGTTTAAGCTATTTCAAATTGTTAAGCATAATATATCAATTTCATTTTTGAGGATTTTTTTTTAAAAGAAAATTTTTTAAATTAGTGTTTTAGGTAATTCTTGTTATACTTTGCTTCTGCAAAATTTCTGTCTAAATCAGTAAAAAGGATCCTGTGAAGTACTTTTTAATTCCATTGTTTAACTCCATCCAGCAAGCTTGTATTATAGATGTGTGTGTGTTTATAATTAGTTCTTATTTATAGTTTAAGTTCTCAGTCAGTGCCTTTGTCAAAATGTAAGGGAACTTACAGAATACTTTTAGTGAAACAGCTGTCACAAGTAAGAAGTTAAATTGTATAAATAAAACTTTTTTTTCTGATGCTCAAACTTGATCTGTCTATTTCAAAATATAGTTTTTATGTCATTGAAGCTGGTGTAACACTTGTCAGTTATTATTTAATATTTAAGCTTCTGATCTGTGGGTATGTGATTCCTCAAATTTTTCTTATTATTTGAAGAGTAAGCTTTTTAATTTATTCCCAAAGTATCTTTTTAAGGAAATTTCACTGGGCATCTATATTGCTAAAAGGACTTAAATATACATCTCTGACATAGTGCTTAGCAGCTAATGACATGTTATTAATAACTGATGATGTTGTATTAATAGCTAATGACTTGTACTGCTTAGTTGCTAATGAAATATTCTGTTTAGTAGCTAATGACAGATACTGTTTTGTAGCTGATCGTTTTTAAAGTTGTTTGTGAGTAAATGTATCCGTAGTCAATTATACTGCATGAAAGCAACTAATTTTAAATATTCTACAGTCTTCCAATATGTGTATTAATTGGTTCCAAATAAATCTTGGCAATGTTTTTTTATTAGAAAAACCTTTCAGTAGAGTGATTCTTATGATGTAATCTTAACTAAGTGTTTCATACATGGATGCCAACATTTGCTAGTGTTTGCTCACAAAAATGGGTTAGTTCTGATTTTGTTTTACTTTTTGGTTAGAGAAAATAACAAACTTCCTAAAATACTTTGTCTGTGGCTAGATGAATGATTTCACATGATCAGGAGATTTCTGTAGTAAGATGAATTTCAATACTTCTAGATACATTTAATTATGGTGGTTTTATTTTCTTACTTATTCTATATTTGTATATATTAAGTTATTTTTAATTCTCAAAGTGTATGTATTAACTTTGTAAATTAATGTTGCATCACAGTAACAAGCAAGTCACAAAGTGTTGCCCCTCTGGATGATTGATGGAAACTCCTTTTTTGTACAATGAAAGCTTCATGAAGCCTCAATCTCTTTTGGGCTCTGTGTCTTTTAGAGTTTGGATACAATTCTCACTTAATTTTAGAAACATAGGGTTTACAAAACTAAGATATAAATACATGTAAATAGTGTAATTAAAAATTCAAGTAATCAATAATTTTTTCCCTCTCTGATTAGACCAAAAAAGTTCATCAGGTGTTCACATGATCATTTTTTCTCCAACGACCTTCACATTCTAACCAATGTTGCTGCTCAGGCTGATAAGGTTTGTCGCTATGACTTGGACAGTCTCGATGTTCAGTGGCTGAAAAGGTTAAATGACGAACTGGATGAATTAGGTATTTTTGTTTACAATAATAAGCTGGTGAAATCAAATTAATTATGACTGAGTGAAATAAATTAAGTCTTTAATGTAGGTAAAGATGTTAAGACTGAAATATGATACCAAACCAAACTGCTAATTTTATTCTGCTATACTTATCCCCATGGTTATGTTGGTGATTGTTTCTAATCCTGCTAAAAGTTGTATAATCAGAATAACTAAATTTGTTTTAATTCTTAGAACGTTTAATTGACTGGGGTGTTAACAGTGTTTTTTGTCTTTGACAGAATATCGAGGATTTGTTTTCAGGTTGGGCTTTATTTTTGTGTTTGATCACATTAAACAATCTGTGTAGTATATATGTGCATATATATGCACATTCATTACTAGAGTATACATGTGCATCTATATACATTCATTACTCTCACTAAAAAAAATGGTAGCTGTGAAAGAGAATAAAGTTACATTTTAAGATGTTAAGTGTCTAAATTAATTCACAAAACTCTGAAATGTGCTTAAATTATAAACTCGGTAGTGATTCCCATTCAATTGTGTGTCTAGTTAATTGTCAACACTTACTAATGTGTAATACAGGTCTGTTTTTATTTAGTTAGTTCATTTTAAAATCTGTTTGAGATAAAAGAATTATCTCTTCTGTGTTTCAATTAATATGTGCAAAATACATATTTTTCCAATACGGTACATTACCTCCATTCACACGAATAACTATTCTTGTTCAGTGCTGCCCTCTATATGAAAAAGTTTTTTTTTCATGTACCACAAGCCTTGAACACTCATGTACCCCAAGATCAACGTGGTTCAACTGCATCTTGCATGTAAACCATCATGTGACAAACTTTTACTAATAGGAGCGCGACACACCCTTCTGATGCACGTGACTCCCTCTATTTGATTCTTCCAAACTATCACTTCTCATTAGGCAGTGATCAAGTGCAGGTGTTTTTCAATTGTGATCTTTTCACATGTTCATTTAATTTTTTTTTGCGAAGTAGTGATTTACTTGATTTATTCATTTACCACTGTTAATTTTCTGTAGTTGTTTGTTGCAATAACTTAGCTTTGTTTATTGATTTTTTTTTTTTTTCTCATTTTTGACTTCTCCACTATATAAGATGAATTCTGAAATTTGTATTGTACAATTTCTGATATTTTTGCCACTATTTTGGGTATTATTACGCAAGCTTCAGGTCTGGAACTCTTGACTGAGAATTTTTTGGCTATCATTTGTTGGGAGATTGATCGGTATATGTGTCGTCCTTCTTCTGAAAATGTTCAGGTTCCTCCTGCATTGTACAAACCTATTCATGACAAGGAGGAATTTGACAGCCTTTTTTCTCCTCCTAACTCTGCCGTGCCTTTCCACTTATGGAATCTTACTAGGCCTAACTTTGCCTGCTTGGAAATACTTTCTCAGGTGTGTTTTGTTTTCCCAATTTCATTTGATACTGTTCCTTCCTTGTTACATGAAACATCTTTAGTGTACCTTGTTTTCGTCCTTTCTCTGACATCAGATTTCATGCTGAGCATTTTGTTTTTCAGTTGAGGGCTGGTGTTAGCAGGCCTCATTTTCCATGGGCTTATGATCATAATGTTTTGACTTATCAGCAGACTGATCAACTCTTTCTCAACTCCTAGCAGTTGGAGTCACTTTTGCCAATGTTGGGGGGCTGTCCCAGAAAATCCTATCCATTTCTTCCATGCCCAGTTTCCTAATTTTATCTTACCCTTAAAGCTCTCCTACAGTATTTGTCCAACATAGACCTCCTTTCTGAAGTACTCCACTGATCTCTTGGGTTTTTTTCAGGAGATACACTTTTCCTCCTTACCTCCACGTTGGTGCTATTGTCCTATTCAGCCCTATCCCTTCACATGTGGTTTCGTTGCTGTTGGGATTTTATTGTGAAGGGTGCTGTCTTGTCACATGTACCTTTACCTTCCACTTATCTTTATGACTTACAGATGGCTCCTTTACTCCATTGGCCTGTTTTTGGAGATTTTCCTGAATCCTTGGAATCACGTATGGAATCTGTGAGACCACTTTTGACCTGTTAGTCTTTGGTTACTTGTTTTTCTCATTCTGATCCCATGACATCTCCTATAATTGTTTCTTGTCCTGCAACTTCTCATCCTTCCCCAGTTCCTACCACTAGGGGTTCAAAATATTGCCATGTGTCTTGACGTCAGGTTTTTTCTCCAGAACTGTGGATGACTATGGTAAACATCTTGAATGCCTATCTCCATATTCATATTTCTCATCTGTTCATATGCTAACTTCGGTATGTCCACTACAAGGTTGTGTATCTGTTTCATGTCTAGCCTTTCGGGCTTGATTCAGCACCTTATGTATTTTATAGGGTGGTAAAGGCGTTTGCCTGACTTATTCTTTCTCAAGGATTGCATTTACACCACTACATGGTCGACAGGCTCCTGTTAGCTCATTCTAAACTGGACTGTACCAACCCATGGATTTACATGGGTAAATCAGGTGTGGCCTGCTTTTAAATGTAGGGTTTTTCGTGGTCACCCATTGCACTGTCAGCATTCCTCCAGACTCTCCACTGCATTTTGTCCCCCTTTGTGTTTCTAGTGGAGTTTGGGAGTCATTGCCTCTTCCCAGTTCCGAGCCACTGGGGTGGTGGACCACAGAAGAATCCTCCTGAACGTGATAGCTTCCATTCAGTTGAAAATAGGGTGATGGTATTCTGCTGGTGTAGATGGTGTTCAATCCTCCAATTATGTGCTCCACCTCCGTGCATTGGGTCCTGGAGGTTGATGTTGCACACAGCTTCTGTGAGGTTGCTTATACTTTATAGATAACATCCACTTCCGTGCATTGGGACTCAGAGGTTGCAATTGTTCTTCAGCCTTTGTGTGGTCCTATCCAGAGGATGATGTTGCTTTGAGGTAAATTTGTCACATTGCAGTTCACCCCTTCAATTGGGGTCCCTCATCCTACCATTACTTGGATGTCGGTTCCCAGTGAGTGGTTTTAAATTCAAGATGGACCAATCACCATAAATCCTCGCATATGTGTTGGTTATGTTCCTCTTCCTCATTCAATTTGCTTTATGATCTCCACCTCTGTGTAGTTGATCCCGGAGGTTGATGTTGCAAGCGGCTTCTATGTGGTTCTATCTGGAGTGTGAGGTTGCTGTATATTTTTAGATGCAATCCACATCCATGCAGTGTGACCCGGAGGGTATCATTGTACTCTGGCTTCTGTGTAGTTCTATCCAGAGGATAATATTAGCTGGGTCGATGGTTCTCCCTCTTGTGCTTCATCTTGGAGAGTTTTTGCTGCCTGAGGCTGATGTTGTGCAGTAGGGTGCCAGATTGAGTTTGATGTGATCTGCCACATTGGCACACCTATTCCTACCGTCATTCAGAAGTCGGGTTCCAGGATGTATGGTTGGCTGTGGATTTGTGCACATGTTCCTTTTTCGTAGATCAATTTGCACGCATATGCTTCCATTCCACTTACCTTGAGGTGAAGATAGTGTGGACCCTCCTCCTACCACGGGTTGGAGGTTCTATTCCTAATGCTGCTTGGTTTTGGATTGGAGTTGACCGGTTGCATATGGTCTGTTGTACCCTAGCCACTCTACACTTTGGAGCACATCCAGTTTTAGCTTTCCCCACATTCCTGTCTGTGGATGGTTCTTCTACAGTCTTTCTTTTACATGATTGATATTCCGATATACTCTCTCTCTTTTTGTTTGTGCTCCTCCTACTTTCTGTCCATGTATGCGACACTTCTTTCCACAATAGTTGCAGAGTATATCTGGTACAGAAATGGTGCAGTCCAGCTGGTGGGTGTTCCTCTCCCAACGGGGATCACACTTCAGGGGTGTTCTTTGGATGCTTTCAAAGGATACTTCTTTCTATCCCTCACACTGGTACCTTTGAGATTCTAGCTGTGTATGTGAGCAAAGGTATTGTACTGTATTGGAAGTTATGATTTTCTTATACTGAAAATGTATTTCTGATAGGTACTTACCTTCTCTCACACTTCCCACCATTCCTCCACATTGAAAACTGGTGCTTCCTTTTCTGCATGAACACCACTGTCAGTTGGTATGTTTTTTAGGAAATTAAACCTCATTTAGCTTGTAAGATTTGCATCTGAAACTTTCTAGTTCATTTTTGATTTTTTTAAGTTAATGAGGAAAGAAATAAAATAAATCATTAGATTTAACAAAATGTCTTTCTAAAGTAATATTTAAAGTTGTAGATGTTTTTTATCTTCTAACAGCAACTCGTAGAAGAGCAATATAAAAAAAATTTTGCTTCTTTCTTGTATGAAAAATTTGGAATCAGTCCTCCTCGTGTCCATATCTGTCAATAATACAGAAATACATAGATGCTAAATCTAGCAACTTGACTGGTATATCTTGGTATGGAATAGCATGAACACCCATTTCATTCACCAGCTGATTGAAGTATGTATCTGTTAAACTGAGATGTCTTGGAAATAACTTGTGTTACTTTTCCAGATGGAGATTCTTCATATTTATTTTGTGTACAATTGCTTAGGACAATGACAGCTTTTGCTGCTGACTTTTGTGTTTTTGGATTCTTACCTATTTACACTTCACTTTGCTTAGGATGCCTGGGGTATGACTTGTTCCAGGTCCCTTAGTAGATGGTCCTTGTACCCCAAGTTGATCCATATTCTTTTGTTTTCCAGTGCCATTAAGTACAAGAGATATCCCAATCTTGGAAATTCTAAATTCCTGATCTGAACACATCTTAATGATCTCAGTGTGTGAATATTTTGTATTGGAAAAGACTGTTACATAACCTTCTCCAAACTAATCAATTTTTAGTGCCATCACACTATCTATTAAATTCCAAAAGATGTCAATGTAGTTCTGATAATCTTTCATTCCTTTAATATAACATACTCAACCATCTGTAGTAGTAATCTTTGCTTTACATTATTGCTTGTATCAGATATTTAAATACACTAAACTGTTGTACTGGAAATGACAATTT